AAAAGATTTGGTGCTCAGAGTTTCCAGAGGATTCTTGAGAAGGATCCAGTGTGTAGGACGCACTCTGCTGGTTCCGTTCCACATACAGCTGTGTCATCTTCAGTAGGAGCAGATCTTGGTGTCCTCTTTGGGCGTGAACACCAACTTTGGGAGATATTGCTTCTCTATATCAAGTATAATTCCTCCCTTCCCTTTTGGTTCAGATCTGGTTCGATTATGGTCCAAGTAGGATCCTTGAATATTGTATTCTCAATTTAGGGAATACGATTCCCAGTTGGGAGAAGGTAGGAAATTTTTTGAAATTCGCCCACCCATTCCGCAATCTTTATGGCGTCCATTAGATGGATCCTACCATTCTTTCAGGGCCAGATGGCTTTACTATGGCTTTCTTTCAAGACTGTTGGAACATAATTAAACGAGACTTATACGAAGTTTTCAAAGAATTTAAGGAACAGTCTGTCCTTAACCGTGGAGTAAATGCCACTTTCCTAGCCCACGTCCCTAAGAAGAAAGAGGCCAAATATCCCAAAGACTTTAGGCCAATCAACTTGGTAACAAGCACCTAATAAGATACTGGCAAAGGTCTTATCTTTGAGGATCAAAAAGGCTCTTCCCCCCATCATAAGTCAAGCTCAAGGTGCTTTTATTCATGGTAGACAAATAGTTGACCAAATTTTAATAGCAAATGAAAGTGTGGAAGAGATGAGAAGATTGAATAGGCAAGGTTTTGTTTGCAAATTGGATCTTGAAAAGGCCTATGATTTTAATGGATTGGAGTTTTCTGCTGGAGGTTATCAGAAAGTGTGGTTTTGGGGATAGATGGTGCAAGTGGATAGGTGGTTGTCTGACATCTTACCATTACTCAATTTTAGTAAATGGAATAGTAAAGGGTTTTTTTCCCAGCATATAAGGGCTTGAGACAAAGTGATCCGTTGTCCCCTTTCCTTTTCACAGTGGTTGTTGATGTTTTTATTAGACTTTTGTCAAAAGCAAACAATGTTGGATTGATAAGAAAATGGAGATTAGGAAGAAATCAAGTTTCAGTTACCCACCTTCAGTTTGAAGGGATGAGAGATCCATCGAATGGACGCCCAAAGATTGCGGAATAAGGGGGCGAATTTCAAAAATTTTTCTCTCCCTTCAACTGGGAGTCGCATTCCCTATTTAGAAAATCATATTTTCAATGATCATTCTTAAACCATAAACTGAACCAGATCTGAACCAAAAGGAGTAGGAGAGGATTATACCTAATACGGAGAAACAGTACCTCCCAACGAAGGTGCTCACGCCCAAGGAAAGATCCAAAGACTGCTCCCACTGAAGATGGCGCAGTGCAGGATGGAGCAGAATCAACAGTGTTCTTCTCCAAGAACTCTATCCTTCGCAAAAAACAGTAGGATGGCACGTGAGCACAGCTTCCTATCAATTCTTCCTCCAAGAACTGATGTCAAGATCGAATCTTGACTTCTCCCACATGGGTTCAGCCCAACCTTTGTTACACATCAGCCACATGGGTTCGGCCTAGCCTTTGTTACAAAGCCTGGCCGAATACACTGTTATGGACAGTGCACCCCCTGAAACCCATCAAATGGTCTCTATGGGCTCAACACTTACCCTAAGTGGTCCCTATGCCAAGCCACCTTGTAACACCCAGGGACTGTGGGCAGATGCAAGATTAGCCCATCAGGTATTATCCTCAATGGTCTTACACTTAACCTCTCAGCCCATAATGATCAAACACTGCCCGACAAGAGAGGACCTCTCCCTCGGCTGCAAGGA